CATACTGAAAAATAAGAAATTACATACCCCGCGTCCGCGGTGAATCAAAATCTGCTATAAAACTTGGTCTTCGAAACACTGCAACTTCCTCACATTTCAGTCTGCTTATGATATATTTTATTCCCAGCCAACAAATCTTCACTGACGAATTAAATACCATTTCTGAAATAACACGCAGCCTGCAGTAAAATGTTCAACAATATTCTTATGACCTAAGTGTCACGGATATTATATTTTATATATATAATGTTTAATTTGTATTACACCTACCTAACTATTATGTGTTAGCAAGCCCAGATTAAGGATCAATTGGGCCCCGAGACACCATACACTTAGTGGGCCCCCTTTCAAATTTAACTTCAAAATAATTGTATTATTACATATTAACGACTTTATATTATTGTATAATTTTTTACCATGCAAAAAATATATAACTTTTAAGCCACCTTTAATTTAAAATTTACTTTAAACGGTATTAAATTCAATACCGACTCGAAAAAAATTGGATATCTGTATAATAATTAAAAACCGAAAATATAATTTAAAAAATGGTATTTATTTTTTTTGAAAATCTTTGTATCTTGACATTTTTGAAAGTTAACTTTACACAAGCGATCGGACGCTCGATCCAGCGATTCAAAAAAATTAATAAACTAAGAATGAACGTAAATAGTCCAGGTCTTAAAACTGAAACCGATGACAAAATCAAAAACAAAATCGGAAAAAATTGGAAATCGGTATTAAATCCAAAACTAAAACGAAAAAAAAATCGGAAACCAGTGTATAACTTGAAACCAAAAAGAAATTTTTTTCAATCGGTTTCAAGCCATTTAAAAGTGATAATTGATAACCCAAAATGTATATTTTCCCCTTATTGCATTTATGCTTATACTAATTTAGAGAACACTTTTATTTTAAAATTAACACTTCCATTTATTCCTAATAAAAAGTCAACCATTATAATAAAATAAACAAATTATAATTTAGATTTCAGCCTTTTAGCCTTTTTTTACAACAATTTAATAAAATACATATATATATATATATATATATATATATATATATAGAAATATGTAATATATTACTTATTAACTATGGTCCTCGAAAGTTTAGTATAATATGCGTTAATACTTTTAACTGAAATACCTAATTTACAAGAGCTAAATATTTTTTTCTTATAACTACCTATATACTATTAATAGTTAAATCAGTAATCGAAAACACTCAGAAAAAAAAACTAAATGAAAATTATGTTTACCAATACAGTTCATTATTTATAGTAATTTTTCATGATATAAAATTGAGAACAATTTTATTTTATAATTATTATTTATTAAGTAATAATAATTTATCTACTACCTATACCTATCTACTTCAATATATATATTTTTTTAAATGTATTGGAAGCGTTAAAAAAAATATATTTTGTTGATAAAGATGGTCCCCCAAAATCAATGAGCCCCGTTACCGTGCCACCCTTGCCCCCCCTCCTTAAACCGGGCTCGTGTGTTAGTTTGTATTTTAGAGTGGACTACGGGAGCAATGAATATTTTGATTTTACAATGATTTGTATATGATTCTCGTATAACGATTTTCTTATTTTGTTGTTATTCAACAACTATTAACTGTCGGTATTTAAAATGTCCATCAAATATTTAAACTATCATAATATATATTACATAATGTTCAAAATATTTCGACTCGTTTTCAGTGATAGACATTTGAATTATGAAATGTTTTTAGTTCTGTATTCTATGAATTTTATTCGTTAGGTCAAAAAGCTTAAAAATAATACAAAGTTAATCGTAAGTTGATATAATAGCAGTTAAAAAATATTAGAAATATACAGGCACGTTTTTTTTACGGGTATTTAAAATTCAAATTTCTACAAAATTCATCATAATCTTGACAATTTTCAAAATATTTTGTAGTCAGATATTCGTACAAAAATGTCTTATTTGTTTATCTATAATATGAAAATGTAATAAAAGTTTCCTCATGAGCAGTTATAATAGCAATTGAGAAACAATAAAGATCCATTTTTTTAAGAAATTAAAGTTCAATTTTTAACAAAATTTATCAAATTGATAGTCTACAAATTACTATTTAGTAGTAAAATTTATAAAATGTTCAACTTTTATTGCTAAGGATTGAAAATGTAAAACAAGAATTCTCAAAAATAGTTCATAGTGAGTGTTCATACTCTAACAAAAAAAAACTAAATAATCTATTAAAAACACAGTTAATTTTTACAGACATTATAAGTTCAAATTTGGACGAAATTACTTATTAAAACAAAGAATAATGATTTTAGTTATTTTGTTATAATTTAAAAATAGTAGGTGTTCGTGGATTTATAAAACTTTTAAGGCCGTTCTTACAATGTCCGGTTAAATTTAACCTACACATAAGTTCATAACCCGTATAATCCTGCAGGTAATAACATCTGTTATTAGTCGGTTAGCGTTAACCGACACTTTACCGGACATTGTAAGAACGGCCCTCAGAATATATTATTATAATTTATATACACGAATACACGTTGACACTTTTAAATGTAATTTTTTGAGCAAAAATGACTATAAACTACTGCTGTATTGATGCTTAATAATCTGTAGTCAATGTGGTTATGATCATAAAATATTATTCTACTCAAATTTAAAATACTTTATATTTTATTATTTTTTTATAGCGAAATATGATTTATTTTTTACCATATACTTTAGAAAAAATGAAAGTAAAATTAATCCCCAAAAGAATATGAAAAAAACTTACTTTAATAGTTTAATTATCGACTCTTTCGGCGGAATCCGTAAAGTGTGAGAGCTGTGACGATGATGATGAAACGCTTCAGAGAATACAGAACTTAAAATATTGTGATTTATGAAAAATAAAATTATACTGGACGCAGTAAGTTTTTTACTCATACCTGCTTTGCTTATTGAAATTTTAGAATTTTTAATCGACTGTGTCGTCTGCAACGACTAGGAGATTTGCCATGGAATATAAATGAATAATGATAGATATTATACTAGGTACGTCAATATGATGAATCCACGGATATCATATAATGCAACTTTTTATATCAAAGAGTTCCATGTAAAGGTCCCCACACACTGCAGCGGTGGCGATGGCGGTGGCGGTGACGTTAAATTCTATTGTCTTGGCTTCACCGCCGCGGTGAGCGGTGAAATGTGTCCTACAGCAATTCACCGCCACCGCCACCGCCACCGCTGCAGTGTGTGGGGACCTTTAAGGAACAATATTTGTTCGTAGAAATTTTGTATGACAAAAATCAAAATAGTTTATAATTTTGAATTTGAATTATAATAATAGGTATCAAATATTATGATATATTATTTGAATTTTTATTTTCGTTTATCAATTTAATTATTTATTAATATGGTGAATAGATATCTGCAGAAGTACAAGCATATTTTTATAAAAGCTTATTGTATTTTATAAATCATTAAATAATAATGTGATTACTGGATTTTAGGTAACATAAAGGTATACTCAGTAAATTCATCAAATTTACAGTATCGGCTATAATACCACCTCGATTCTAAAATTTCAAATCTAACATATTCTACGAATACTGCTGATCACAAAATTATTAATTATTATTCAATATTATAAAAATTTTAATTGTATCGGGGACCTATAATTTGTATTTTAGATTCTGAGTGGAACGATGAATATTTTGATTTTACTATGATGTGTATTTAATTTTTAATTTAATTTTTATTATTTCTTTGTTTTGTTTGATGTGTACACGATAAGTAGGTAGTCAAATTCGACCTTCGTTTTCCATGCATAATATATTATAGGTACCTACTCTGTATGTAATCAATGATCATATTGTTTATTTTTAAGTTTCTTTGTATCCAGTAAATAATAATATAGGAAAGTGTATTTTAAAATAATAATTTTTTTGTTTGTATTAAATACATACACCATAATAGGGAACTAAAATTGTCATTTATCGTTAAAATAATACATTTTGTGAAAAATTCAATTTTTGTAGAAAAGTGTTTTGTGTAGGCATAATAAATGTTACATTAAAATTTAAAAAATTCAAAAATTAGAATATAGGCACTACATTTTCCAGCTTCTACTACAACATTGCGTTATATTATGTTTTTAATAATTAAAATGCCTAAAAAGTAAACGTAAATCCCAAATTTGAAATTAATATGAAAACAAACTTACGCTGAAACATCGACTCTTCCGGTGAAACTTAGCTAGAGTGCATCAACAATGCAAACGTCCAGTACTTGAAGCCACCGAAGAAACAGCTATATTCATCCGTCTTCATCTCGTTCCGAACTGTAACTTGAAACCATCGAAATATTTCATGAAAATTACCTGAACATAACGAAATGTGCGAATTCGTGTTAAAACTTACATTATAATATATAGTCTATAGTATATAATATATATTATACAATATAATAATCTGTAGTCAAGTGGTTTCGATCATAACAAATTATTCCACTCAAACTTAAAATATTTTATGTTTATTATTTTTTTATAGCGAAATATGATTTATTTTTTACCATATATTTTAGAAAAAATGAAAGTAAAATTAAGCCCCAAAAGAATATGAAAAAAACTTACTTTAATAGTTTAATTATCGACTCTTTCGGCCGAATCCGTAAAGTGTGAGAACTGTGACGCCGATGACGAAACGCTTCAGAGAATACAGAACTTAAAATATTGTGATTTATGAAGATAAAACTATACGGGACGCAGCAAGTTTTTTACTCATACCTGCTTTGCTTCTTGAAATTTTAGAATTTTTAATCGACTGTGTCGTCTGCAACGATTTTGAGATTTGCCATAGAATATAAATGATAGATATTATATTATACTAGGTAACGGCAGTATGATTAATCCACGGATATTATATAATGCAACTTTTCATATCAAAGAGTTCCGTGTTAAGGAACAATTTGTTCATTGACATATTTTGATATGACAATAAATCAAAATAGTTAATGAACCCGGGCAACGTTGTCGAGGCTCCGGAAGTCCCGCCGCCATCAGATGACCGGACAAGACCAGACGAGACCGTGCCAGAACTGCCAACCGTTCCAGCGACGTGTTCCGGCCAGGCAGAACTGGAACCTAATACCGGCGACAGCGGCCGCGGTGACAGCGAAGAAAGCCTGGTGGTGGAAGCCGTGGACGATCCCTCGGCTAAATCTAAAAAACGCACCACACTTTGGAGACGGACGAAGCGAATCGTCCGTTGCACGTTTTGTTGCGGCGTTTGAGCGGTTACCGCCAAGTTTGATTTTCACGTTATCTAGTCGGCGAACTTTTCGTGTCCATCTATGTTTTTCCGTCGGACAAGTCTTTAACCGACTTGTATACTTTGTTTATTTATAGACCAACCAAAATATACGATATTAAAAACGAATTCAACTCTCGAGAAACTCTAACGACAAATTTAGCTTTCTAACGACTTTTTATGTGGGGCTTGTGATGGGACATTTATATATCGTCGCGGTCTCCTGTTCACACTAAATTCTTTAATCGACGGACGACTGCCGATCGTATAATATTTAATCTTATCGGTGTTCCGAACACAAACGATTATAATATAATATTATTACCATTTACCTATATGACATTTAGTTTGTAATAATTGTATTGTTTCATATTTGTATACAATATACGTACCTATACTACAATGTACACTAAATGAAATACAATTTGATTTGATTTTGATTTTTTCTTACCTAATTATTAATTATTCCGATATCGTAATAATTAGTATTTTTTATCATAACCAAATAGTTAATTAATACGGTTTATTGAAGTGGTTTACAGGTAAAACTACCTATTACAAAAATTGTAGAGAAAAATTTTATCAACAATCGTACGAAACCCGATTTTCGATATTTTTATTAATTAGTTGAATAATTAATCGATAAAATGTTAAAAATCGTGTTCATTTACCATATGATATTGGACGATAGAAATACGATATAAAAAATTGAATTTCTTACGAATGTTAAAAAAATTCTCCTCTACAATTTTTATAATAGGTAGTTTTGTTATAAACCTCTTCAATAAGCCGTATTTCTTGAAGAACAAAAGTATAGTTTTTATTTGTATATAATTCGGATACGAATACAAAATATAAAAACGAACAAAATTAAATAATATTTGTCACAAAATATTGTATAATAATCTTATCTAGGTATTTATAAACCATGTTCAGGAGCACGGAAACCTGTTTTGACCTATGCCCTAACCTACCCTTTTTTTATAGTATCGAGCGCTGCCGCTGTCATGATGAGCGTAATTAAACCTTTTTTTTACCGAAAACATGGTTTCGTAATTCCAGGAATACGGCTTATTGAAACGCTTTAAAGTATAAATGCCTATTACAAAAATTGTAGAGAAGAATTTTTTCTAGAATCGTAAGAAGTCAGATTTTTTATATCTTGTTTCAATCGTCCAATATCGCATGGTAAATTAACATGTTTCTTTTATCTTTTTATCAATTAATTATTTAACTAATTTAATAGAAATATCGAAAATCGGGTTTCTTACGGTTCTAGGAAAAATTCTCCTCTACAATTTTTGTAATAGGTATTTATACTGTAAAATGCTTCAATGAGCAGTATTCCTGGAATTACGAAATCAAGTTTATATGCTATATTTTGTCTACTAGTGCGCCCTCTTAATAATATTAATTACTAAAAACTACGTCGACAAATGATATTACCGTCACTGATCGATTGTCGCAGTACTCATGGGTGGCAAATGTATTTTTGACGAGTTATTCAATTTTCGTGTAGCCTTTGCTGTTCACATTGTTAAGCAGCTGACGGTTGGAGTTATAAATTTGGTGGACCACGAACGGCTCTATTAGGCACGTTTCAAAATAATATGGCCAGCGGCGTGCTCGGTAAACTTCAACTTGTCTGCCCTACTGCTATAACTGCTTCCACTCAAAGTCGTTGTGTAAAATCGCAGCGGATGAACAAAATAATATTGTAATATTAAAAAGTCTGGTGTTTGAGTGGTGAGCGGGTGAGCCTACTGAAAATTAAACACAGATGTTTAGGTGTGTCAATCAATATTTAAGTGGTGTTTAAAGGGTTCGACTATTTGAAACTTTATAATTACTATAATATTATCTTCCGTATCGAACACTTCGTAGCTATATTAATTATAATTGTTTGCTTACTTAGTTGAGTGCTTCTAAAAAAATATGTCACGCACGCAGTGTCGGATAAACCGCCGGTGCAAGCGGTGCATTGCACTGGGGCCTCGACTCTTTGAAATATTTGGGGTCCCCGATATTATGGATCGAGTACTATAAAATAAAATTGGTACTTGGTAAAATGTATATTTTGTTTTTTCAAATTGTGTGTTTAATTAGTTTTACTTTGAAAGTCTATTTAATTTATTCCCATCAGTGGTGAATTATAATTGTGAATATTTGATTGATTAATTGGTATATTTTATTTTTCATACACATTATCGTGTTCGCCGATACACAATAACGTTAACATCTACGCCGTGTTGCATTACGCGAAGTGAGACTGAATCCAAAAATAGATGTATTGAACATTTTCTAATATATAGTATATTTTATAACATTTTTAAATTAGGGCCACCAACATTTTTTTTTGCACCGGGGCCCCAAGAGTTCAAGATCCGTCACTGCACGCACGGCGATGTCGATGCCGGTACTTGTAGAATAGAAGTAGTCAAAAATGCTAGCTTTACAATGGATAATTCAAATTGGTTATAGATTTTACTATAGTTCCTCGATTTTATTATCGTATTAATATTCATAATTATTGTTATTATTATGTTATCACTGACGTGTTAATTGGTGCTCACTTGTAGAGCAGTCAGTCAACTTACGCTAATAGTAGGTACATCTAAAATAATTATTTAAATAATGTAATAAATAATTTAAATGTTTGTGTTTTATTAGGTTTGCAAATATCAAACACTTTAGCGGTCCTCTCAAGCTCAACTGTGTCTTATTTTTGTATTAACTATTAACCACTAGGTACTGGGAACTGACAGGGCCGGCGTTAGCTAATATTTGTGAGGGGTCGTGGTTAACGAAAGTGACGACTGAAATTCATGCATAATTATAAAACACTAAAAAAAAATTTTTGCGACACTCAAAATGTCAAGTTTTTGTTTCGACAATTCCATACTATGTTGGAGCAAAAACTTAGTATAAAATCTTGATAAATGCATGTTTTTATACATATTTTTCAATATTCACTATTAATTATGATATTGTTCCAGAGTAAAAATTTGTCAAACCGTTTATAAATAAAACAATAAAACTAATAATGTTTTTGTATCATATGATAAAGAATAAACAAAATCCTAGAGACATTTTTCAATTATTTAAATCACTATTTACCAACAATATTGCCTTTTTAGTTTTTACTTAGAGTTTTTGATCGAAGCTGATTTTTTAATATCTCTATCTATTTTGATTTTAAATGAGCATCAATGCATCATAAAACAATAACTATTTTTTATAACAAATAAGTATTATAATATATTACATTTTACAAAATATCATTTAACATTGTCAGAATGTGCATTCCAAATACAAAAATTATAAAAAAATTATATATATAATAATTATATAGGTATTACACCGAAATTCTTCTTTCTTTTAACGATGCCATATTTGTATCATATTTGTCATTTCAATATTATCTAAAATGTCTTTCTCAGAATCAAGTATAATCAAATCATTTAATCGGGAACTGGTCATAGTAGTTCTTAAATGGTTTTTGATTAATTTTAGCTTGCTGAAACATCGTTCATTTGAAGCTGTGGTAACTGGTGATGTTAATGCCAAACGACAAAGTTCATTAACCATAGGAATTAATTGGTTTATTTTAATTTTTTTTTTTTTTTTGTATTTTTATATTTTATACATATTTTGTTGTATTTGACAATGTGTTAATGTGCCGACTGAAATATTAGGTTAAATGAGTGAGGGGTCGTGACGACCCCTTAAACCCCCCCTCGCTCCGGCCCTGGGAACTGACTACACACCGAATTCCAATCAAAGACAGTCCTAACACAAAGTGTGTAGGTAGTTAAAAAAAATACTGCATATATTGATAAATATAGGTACCTATAACGGCAGCTATTAATTAATTTATTCATATAAAAGGACTTGAGTCCTATAACATACCTACATACCTATTATAAACGCAAGCACAGTAAAAATTATACATGGTATATGAACTCTGATATACAGCAAGATAACATAAATATAACAGAAGTATAAGCTAAGAAGCATAATACAATTGAAAAGTTACAGTTAAAAATGAAGAAAAACTTATAGGCAAATAACAAAAAAAAATATATATAAATGAGACGTGCTAAACATAATCAAAAGTAATAGAATTAACCACAGCCATTAAGATATTAGAGGGACTGTTTGTCATATAGTTTATTTTATAAGGGATGGGATAGAGTAAATCTCGATATCTAGTGTTATGGAAGTTTGTTTTAAAATTAATAAGGGAAAAGAGCTCTTGACAATAAATCTTCCCTATATAAGTAAGTTATGTATAAATATAGGTATATAAATATATATTATATAATATATAAGTAAATAAGAATAACCTGATTTATTCATTAAAAATGTTCTTTTCTGGAACTGATAACTCTACACCTCTCTTGGAAACATAACAATTTATTTATTTAATTTTTTTATTTTATTAAATTAATCATTTTTAATATAAAAACAAAAATTCTATAAACATTTTGGTTTATCTGCCTTCAATAATAATCAGTGCTTGAGTTGAAGATAGAGAGTTGTTTTCTTATAATTTACATACTATACACATTTACAATGATAGAAATATTAACAAGACACAAAGTAATTTATTAAGTTTTCAATTTAGATATGAACGATATTTTCGTGCAAAAAAACTTGATTAAGAGTTAAATAATATGCATTGTTAATTGGTTAGATAAAATAATTTTTTCGTAGCTATTATTCACAGTATGATGTGTATAACTATCTCATTCATATTATAACTTACCTTATTTATAGTACTTGGAATTGACAAGAAACAACCATGAATTATCGGGCGAATGTAAGTTCCCACACGAGATATAGCAGGTAAAAATTACCCCTGGATATCCATACGTAAGTTCCCACACGAAATTTCAGACACATAATAATGTTTATGTAAATTGCTTATAATTTTAACTTTTAATTCGTTAATGCTCAGCCTTGCCAAACACAAACTTCCTT